GAAAACTTCGAACGCTCATGTTGCTCGACGTGGGCAAAGGCTTCGCAACCAAAAATGCGCAAAGTTGACAAGTCAGGACGGGACTTATGCAAGCGCTCGAAGGGCGTAGTACCAGGTGTCGATGTGCCGCCAGACTCAACGTGACCTGACCGCCAGACCGCTCAATATTGATGCCGAGCAAGTATTGCAACGTTCCTTGTCGATTGAGGCGCATTTTCGACTCCAGCTCAGTGAGCAATTCATTCACCATGCTGGACGTCGGTGCCGCCACCAAAAAATCGTCCACGTAGACACAAACGATCACGATTTCGTCGTCAACAGACCGCCTTGTGTACAAACAAGGGTCGTGGAGACTTTGACCGTAACCCAAGGACCTCAGAATTTCGTCGCACATCTCGTTCCAATGGTATCCACTTTGCTTCAGCCCAAATAAGACACGCCGCAGCAACAACTTGTTGAGACAATCTGGTCGTCAAATATTTGGCGAACCAATCATTTTGCATACCTGCATCTAGTTAACTAAAAACTGCCCTTTCTGCACGTTGACGATGCTATTCAGACCAGGTTTGAGAAGAACAAGCACGGTAAACTTCAAGGAACTTAGGAACCTAGATTATCCACTAGCCTAAACTCCTAATACATTCTCACTTTCCAATTTCCCATCAACTGGTTACGAGCCCAAGAGCTCCTTCCACCGCCTCCTCCGCACACCGCCGCCCGAGCCTTTCGTCGCCCGAGCCGCCCTGCCCCCTGACTGCCTGCCCGCCGCCTCAAGAGCCAGCCGAAGCCAGCCAGCCAGCGTTCAAGACCCACATTCGTTCATCATTACAGCTCACCTGTTCTCCTTTTGTGAGGTACGGGGAAGTACCTTCGGGGAAAGACTGTAAGTTCGTTTGTGGTTTGGCACTAAACTCCTAGTAGAGTTTGCCATTTTATGCGGGACCCCGTCAAGTCGATCGTCAGCAAAACCGACATCAACCGCCTGCGCAAGCAACGCCAAGTCAAGGCCAAAAAGAGCGCGCCACTGGAGCAAGTCTTTGTCCGCGTCAAGACCGAATCCAAACTAGACAAAGTTCGCCAGGACCTTGCCGACGCTATCAACCGCGTCAAACGAATCAATCGCCACTTCGAAGACGTTCTTATCAAGGAGTTCGCGTCCACAGACCGACGGCTAATTCCCAATACCCGTTCTGTGCTGCAAACGCTCAACGTGCACCTTCACAATTGCTCCAATCTCGTCGACAATATCCTCTTAAAGAAAGTCAAATTCTACCTTGAAGAGAAGAACCTGCCACTTATCAAATCTCGTGGCTACAAGTAAACTTGTTTAATCACTCAAACTGTTTTCTCTCGTTTGTTGTATTGAATCATGGAAGTCAAAAACCCCGTCCATGTGTTCACCGGAAAGGCATACAACGAATGGGAATGCCGTCTCCTCGCGTATCTCAAAGAAGTCGCTGAGATTGTCGAAGGTACCATGCCTCCAACTCATGCCGACTATTACGCCAAGAATCGCCTTGCTCGCGCGATTATCCTCTCTGCCCTTGACGATGCCCACGTCCGCATGGTCTTCAAAATCCGTGACGCTGCAACGATGTTGTCACGACTTCGTGAACGCTACGGCAACAAGTCCTTTA